AGTTGGTGATCGGTATTATATTCCTGAATGTTTGCTTCAAAACATTTCGGTTCCTGGTCCTGTAGTTTTTGTCAAAAGCGCATCAACCACAATCTAGGTGAAACGCTAGATGCCGACACAAAACTAGACATTTCCGCAGACTTCTTAAAAGCAAAATAAGCAGCATCTTACATTTGCTAAAATTTAACTGCACTAATCAATCCAAAACTGTGGATCTTGTTAGTCGGAGTATATGGTTGCTGCGATACAGCGATCCGCATGGTGCGGAGGGATTTTAATATACATCACGAGTTATATTGTTCCGTCAAGGAATTGTCCTGCAACAGTTTGGATGGCTATTTGGAATATCCTTATAATAAAATTTTTCTTGGGTTATATTTTAAACCCTATGAATTCCGTACACACCTAAACCATAGGCATATTGATGATTGGCCAGATTTCATCAATTTTTCTAATCACCGCAGCTAATTTCATCAGACCCTCGTATAGTTGAGAGGAATTTCCGTCAAAGTATGATTACTGATGCCATTAAGAGGCAAAATGCAAAGCGTGGTTTTATATTTGTCGGGATCGGGATCGGTGTTGAGAGTTTCTCTCTCTTGAGAGAGTAATTAGAGTTGCGCTATTTTAAATTTTGTAACAAGCGTACTTTTTGTTCACAAAAGATACGAATTGACATAAACGTACCAAAACAAAAATTAGATTTTTTATTATTCGTGAATACATTTACGCTTAAATTATAACATATATTATTTATGCAAATAACTGGTATAAATATTGGCCAATATTTCTCGATAATTATGATTTATTATCATTTGAAGTAGAATTTAAGGTACCTTTTCGTACTTTTTTGTTCCTACCTGTGGTAATGTTTTCCAACACAATTCACAATTTACCACTGAGAGAGAGAGAAACTCTCAACGCCGATCCCGATCCCAACAAATATAAAACCACGCAAAGAAAAATTACTAATTTTTCGAAAGTTCTTTTCTGAAAATATTCCTAAAATCTGCAGAAATGGAATGTCTATTAACTTATGTATGAAAAGAATTACAATTGGAAAGAGAGTGACCTGTGGCATTAGCCATAAGTCTATGGAAAGATGATTTCTTAACTCGGATGGACAATTGAAAAATTGATATGCTGGCAGTTTTTTTTTTCACTAAAACCTGTATTTCCTCCGCTGCTATGGATGTTCAGAAGAAGCTTAATTTCAGCCGTATAAATGATGAAGAGTGTGGCGGCATCATTCAGTTACTAAAGCATTACTATTAAGTTTCTGTTCTGGATCACGTCTCAACAGAACAACAATATGTTGTTGATGTAATATCTGCTTCTTCAGAATTAGACATCCAATAGGGAGAGAATGGTCTATTAAAGAGAAGAATGGAAGCTATTAAAGATAACCTCTAAAAAACAGGCCTATCACATAGTATAGACATTTTTTAATACTCATCCAGTTTAGAAAACAATACAATGGTACAGAATAAATACAATACTTGAATACCCCTTACTTACTTAGCTGGCTATAGACAGAACAGACAAGCCATAAGCCGAACTTAAAAATGATTTCCAGACGGGTCTATCTTGTGTGCATTTTTTCCAATTTGAAAGACCATGTACAATATTTCATCATCCACTTGATCTTTTCATCGAATTCATGGCCTTGGCCTCGCTTTTATAGGCCTTTTGAGCAGGGGCTTCCTCATCCATTCACACAACATGGCCTAGCCATCGTAGTCGCTGCAGCTCGATACGACTATGTCGATGTCAGAGAATATATGGTATAGCCCATGGCTCATTCGACGGTGATATTCACAGTTGATGCAGATCGACCCATAGATCTTTGGGGAAATTTTTCTCTCAATCACTCCCAGAGCCGCCTCATCTGCTTGCGCAAGTACCCATGCTTCTGACCCATACACGAGCACGGGTAGTATCAGCGTCTTGTAGTCTCGTATGACCTTTTCCAGGAGGATGATTAACAGGTCACACGACAAACTGTCACCTTGTCTAAATCCTCGTTCGGCATTGAAGAGCTCCGAGAGGACCTTTCCGATTTTAAATGCCACTTAAAACATTAATTATTTTGTATTAATTTTGCAGAAATTCCGAACGCAGACATGGCTTTAAATATCTCTGAACGGATAGGGCTGTCGAATGCAGCTTTATAGTCGATGATTAGGTGTTTTTTTTTTGGTCTTTTCCAGAGTGAAAATCTGGTCAATGATGGATTTGCCAGGTCTGAAGCCGCATTGGTATGGTCACACAGCACACTTGATAGCACTTTATATGCGATGGGAAGAAAATTTATTCCTCTATAGTTGGTACATATCGTCTTGTTTCCTTTCATGTGCACAGGACACATGATGCTGTGGTTCCAATCATTGGACATGCATTCCTCCAGCTAAATTGTACTAATCAGCTGGTGCATGCTCCTGACCAGCATCTGACCACCGGTCTTGAATAGTTCGGCTGGTAATACATCGTCATCTGCTGCTTTATTGTTCTTCATTTCATTCATTGCTACTCTGACCTTATCTTGTCTAAGTGGTATACACTCTATACCGTCATCTCTTATATGATCTGGGGTATCTTCTTCACCGCCACTATTTGATACCAGAAGCTTTCAAAATGTTCCTTTCAGATACTCAACACGCTGTCTGTATCTGTTGTCAGGTTTCCTTCTCCATCTCTACAAGAGGATGTGCCTGCACCAAAGCCTCCGGTTTGGTGTTTAACCCGTTGGAAGAATTTTCGGACTTCATTCTGACTCGTTTTTCTTGTTCTTTCTTCTATTTTCTTTCATCCTTTTTTCCCGATAATTCACCATCACATTACGTGTTGCTACTGTATGCAGATTTGCCCTATACGCTGCGTTTTCCACATCAGTTGCATTACGACACTCCTGATCTTACCATGGGTTTCTTGGTGGTGGTTTTTGGTACCCAAGTGTTGTTTTTGCTGCAGTTTGTAGGTAGTGAGCAATTCTTTGCCATTGTGCTTTTATACTATTATCGGGACAAGAAGTGCTTTCGTCAAGCAGGTAGGTAAGTTGAGCGGAGTAGGCCTCTGCTACCTGTTGTGTTTGCAGATTTTCGACGTCAAGTTTCCGTGTTACGCCTTTGCTGCTACATTAAGACGGGTGCGAACCTTGACTGTCACAAGGTAGTGGTCCGAATCGATATTCGTTCCTCGTATCGATCGAATGTCTAAAACACTGAAAAAATGCCGTCCGTCTATCACAACAGGGTCAATTTGATTTCCCGTTGCTTGATCAAGAGAAATCCTGGTGGCCTTGTGTATATCGAGATTCTTGAATCTGGTGCTGCTAACTACCATGTCAATCAATTTCCGACGATACGACCAAAAATATTTTCCCTTCCGATTACTGCATTAACATATCCTAGCAGAATTTTAATGTCATGGTCGGGGCAGCGGTCATATGGAGTTTCTAGGCGCTCGTAAAAAATGTCTTTGGTCTGTTAATCTTTGTCTTCTGTCGGAGCATGAGCGCAAATAAGGCTGATGTTGAAGAACTTCGCTTTTATACGTATTGTAGCAATTGGCTCATCTACAGGATGAGCAGCCAAACTCACATCTCGTTTCATGGCAGATATAATACCGGGCGTAATCATCTGATTTACTTACGCCAGTCCCTTTCCATCGCATTTCCTGCAAGGCAATAATATCGGCTTTGTACTTCATGAGTACATCCGCCAAAGCGAAAACTGCGCCTGTTCTGTACAACGTGCGCACATTCCAAGTGCAGATTCGCAGATTGTGGTCCTTTATACGTTGGTGGGGTTTGGTTTTCTTTTTCGTTACGTTTTCATATTAGGAGAAGTTTTTCTCGCGGCACATATCAGCTCACTATTTCAATGGAAGATGAAAATAGTTACCCCAGGTGACACCGTGAGGGGGACAGTGTCCACAATTGAAATGAAACAGGGTCCAAGATAAATCTGGGCTTCGCCATGTTAAAGCCCATCAGAGCCATTGCTTGGTATCTATCATCCCCTACGTCACCCATTTTGTACGTCGTAATATTTTTAGCACCTAAAGATCAGGACCGAATAGGGTACACATCGGTCCACTCCTTTGGGTATACAAATAGTAAAAAATCAATATTCATAAGTCCAATACTACGTGAATTGAATGCCCGATATTATCTAAACTACTCTGCATTTCATAATACTCTTACCAACTTTAAATTCGATTCGAAGATGGGAACAAGTTAGAATATGGGACTTAACTCTCCACTATTTCTGTTACCTCTCCAACAAAGTGTACAAATTTTGACAATTGGTTAGCTAAAGATGTAACGTACATCATTCCTTTTTGAATACTAAATACTAAAATTATTAAAAAAAAATCATCTTCCTGTTACGCTGTGAAATCAATAACAGCTGCTTGTGTTCTGGGAAACCCCACACACATATCAACTTCTTCATTATGACCATAAAAAACCCACAAGTTCACTTACTTTCTGCTATACCCCTAACATTCACACACATTTACATTCTACGCTAAGCTGCAATTTCTTTGCTTTGCAACATAAAAGAAGCTATTGCATCATGTTAATGTGCCTCAAATGGATTTCACAATATCTCGTCAAGTTCGCAAACGAACACATTGGACATATAAGAGCCAGTTTATTCCTCAACAACATTTTCAGTTCAACAATGACTAACAAAGCAATAGCAGCAATAACCGCAACATGCACTCTTCGTTATCTATATAAAATAAAACTGAAATAAATTTTGTATTTAATTTTATTTTAGTTTTGGAAAAGAAAAATTAAATCAGCACGTGGCAATAACTGAATATCGAATATCTCTGTATGGGGCAATAAGGCAACAGATTTCTTGGCTTTGGAGAGGAAATGTTTGACAGTGCACAACAGGATCAAAAGTTTTTTCGACGAAAGTAAACTTAAGTGACAACTATTTAAAAAAAGTAGAATCGTCCCGGTGGAATAAAAGTAAAAAAAAACCAACATGAAACCGGCAATAGCTAATAACACCGGTGGTGGAGTTGGTGGAGGAGGAATTGGTTCCCTTAACAATTCACCCCTATCACCGAATGGCAGTTTTCCCAATATTGAAAAACCTCGCACCGATTATTCCAGCATAAGTGGAAAAAAGGTTTTGGTATCACCCACCGAGGAACAGTTTGAATTGTTGAAAAAACGTTTGCAGGAACGTACCGAGGATAGTCGCGGGGAAACAATTTATGAAATTGGCGTGGGAGAGGGTAAGTCCGTACATATGAAATATTTGAATATATATTAAAAAAAACTCCATATAATTTAGATGGGGGCGATAGTGGTCTGGATGAGGAAGAATATCAGGCAGCTGTTGCCACATTACAATCTCTGGCCACGACCATTGATGCCGATATGGTATTGCTGCGACAGCGTAAAGTTGAAAAAGGCCTAACGGGTCAATATCTGATACGTAAACGTGTTGATACCTCCGATTTTATGGAAATAAGGTATGTCGTCGGGCGGGCATATTTGTGTGTGAGTGTGTGGTTTTTTTAATTTTAAATATATATTTTTTTATTTTTACAGAGTGGCCGTTGTGGGTAACGTAGATGCCGGCAAATCTACTCTACTGGGTGTCCTCACCCATGGTGATTTGGATAATGGACGTGGCCATGCTCGTCAACGTTTGTTCCGCCACAAACATGAAATGGAAAGTGGTCGTACCAGTTCGGTGGGCAATGATATTCTTGGTATGTTTCTTTGGACCAAATTCTTTTCAGACAATTTGTAAGTCCGTCCATCAGTCTGGCTGGTGTGCACGATAACTCTTTCAAACTTAAATCAATTCGAATTTGGGGAATAACGGTCCACTACTTCTGATAGCTGAAAATTAAATTCCCGACTGCCAGAGGTGCCCTGAGGCTCCGAGAAACTGCTACCTGAAATAGCTGAACTATGGTCACATTGGTATCCTCAATGTAACACCATGTTGTGATTTCTTGAAGAGAAATACTCACATTAGTGACTATGTTCCCTCTCATAGAGACTTTAATGACATCAGAGTAGAGTTTCCTAGTAGGGAATCTTGGACTTGTGGCTCCTTACCTCTGCCAGGTCTGTCATTCTTTACAGACGGGTCAAAGATGGAGGAAGGCACTGATGCAAGCGTTTACTGTAGGGAATTAGAAATATATGACTCATATAAACTTAATAATCTTTGTAGCGTTTTTCATGCAGAAATCCTTGCAAAAAATACTTACTGCCGATTATATGGGACCAGTGACTATATATGTCGATAGTCAGGCGGCCTTCAGGGCTTTGAAGTCGTGCACTATAAATTCAAAAGCAGTTCTTAATTGCAAGTCCGCTTTGCATGATATACGATGGATAGTTAACTTATGTTGGGTTCCAGGACATAGTAACATAGAAGGGAACGAGATAGCCGACGAGCAGACGGGATCATAACAGATCACTGTAGGATTGGATCTTTCACTTCGAAGTGGACTCCAGCGGAGAGAATTACTGTCGTCTATGTAAGGACGAAGAAGAGCTAGAAACAATTGAACATATCCTCTGTAGATGTCCATCGCTGGGTGGCAGAAGAAATAAATAGTTTAAAAGATATGAAATTGATCTTCTCTAAAGTAGACTCCAACCAAATCCTTTGTCAAAAATCTGACATGGCTAAAATAACCTAGGCTATCCTTATCCTTCTATTTTCTTCTTTTCCCGTTCTCTTTTCGGTATAAAGGATGCATTTTTACCAATTCTAGATCAAGTCCCAAAATGAGACCCGTCGGTCCACTCCTTCTGGTACCTCCCCCACAAAGTGTCAATATTTTGAAAAATTTTCTATTCAAAATGGATTGTATATCCGATTTGACTTAAACTTTACACATCGTAACATTTTTACCAAACCTAGATCATGTTCGGAGATGGCACCCATAGGTCGACTCCTTCTGGTACTTTCCCCACAAACATTCATACATTTGCTGGGGCTCTACACCTGTCGGCAACAAAAATCTGACCCTTCTTACTTCATTATTTTATCTTCCTCTTTTTACAGGCTTCGATAGTGTCGGCAACGTTGTAAATAAACCCGATCACGGGACATTGGATTGGGTAAAGATCTGTGAGAAGTCAGCCAAGGTAATAACCTTTATTGATTTGGCTGGTCATGAACGTTACCTGAAAACCACTGTGTTTGGCATGACAGGTCATGCACCGGATTTTGGAATGTTAATGGTAAGAATGGACTTCAAATAATCTGAAAAAAAAAATAAATAATAACCCTTTTCTCTCACCCCACTTTCAGATTGGCGCCAATGCCGGCATAGTTGGTATGACCAAAGAACATTTGGGTTTGGCCTTGGCACTCTCCGTGCCGGTATTTGTCGTTGTAACCAAAATCGATATGTGTCCACCGAATGTGCTGCAAGATAATCTTAAATTATTATTTAAAATTCTCAAATCGCAAGGGTGTCGCAAAGTACCCGTTATGGTAAAGACAGCCGATGAGGTGGTGCTGAGTGCGACAAATTTCGTATCCGAACGGTTGTGTCCCATTTTCCAAGTGTCCAATGTGACGGGCGAAAATTTGGATTTGCTGAAAATGTTTTTAAATTTGTTAACGACGCGTATGTCGGGGCAGGATAATTCACCGGCTGAATTTCAAATTGATGATACATATTCGGTGCCGGGTAAGTGTGTGTGTGAAAAATGGGAAAATGTAAGATTTAAATGTGTAAGAAAAAGAAAAAAAAAGGAAAATTACTGGGGAACTCAGTGTGAAGTCTATTTAGCCTGGCTCAAGAAGTGGACCATTTTCGAGATCGGCTTCAAAAAATCACTTTTAAAAAATCCACGCCTTGTTAATGGCTTCAAAAAATAATTCTTAAAAAACCCCACGCCTTGTTTATGGCTTCAAAAAATAATTTTTAAAAAATCCACGCCTTGTTGATGGCTTCAAAAAATAATTTTTTAAAAATCCACGCCTTGTCTATGGCTTCTAAAAACATTTTTTTTAATTTTTGATTTAAAAAATCAACGTTTTGTTTATGGCTTAAAAAAATAATTTTAAAAAATCCCTCTCACATTTGTTATAAATCTTCATAATTTTGGATAATCAAAATTTAAGTATTTCTCTCTCTCCCTCTCTCAAAACAACTCAGTTTATTTTCAATGCAACCTCCTGTACCTGAAAATAAGTTTTTAATTTTTTTTCTGCATTTTCTAACAGGTGTGGGCACTGTCGTTTCCGGCACCTGCCTTCAAGGCTTGATAAAACTTAACGACGTACTAATGCTCGGCCCAGATCCCTTGGGCAATTTCATGCCCATTGCCGTCAAGAGCATACATCGCAAACGTATGAATGTCAAAGAGGTGAGAGGCGGTCAAACTGCCAGCTTTGCCTTGAAGAAAATCAAACGATCTCAAATACGCAAAGGCATGGTTATGGTTAGTCCGGAACTTAAACCGCAAGCATGTTGGGAATTTGAAGGTGAAATTCTGGTATTGCATCATCCGACTACCATATCGTCACGCTATCAGGCTATGGTCCATTGTGGCAGTATACGTCAGACCGCCTCCATTGTAAATATGTCCAAGGAATGTCTACGGACCGGTGATAAGGCTCATGTTAAATTTAGATTTATAAAACATCCGGAATATATAAGACCCGGTCAGCGAATGGTATTTCGTGAGGGGCGCACCAAGGCTGTGGGCAATGTACTGAAACCCATTACAAATTCACAGGCCGCCCAAAATCGACCGAAACCCAATAAAATGCAATCACGATCACAGGGTCAGGGTAGTTCGCAGCACAGCAATAATCCACCACAAAATCAAAACCAAAATCCCAATGTCCAGGCAGCGGCAGCCAATAATAGTGGAACGAAATCTGATATGGATTTGAAAAATCACAAAAGCGATGGAGTCCTAGAGGTCACAGTGGACAAGAGAGATAATACAAGGCTGGCCAATAAACGTAACGTGAATAAAAAGACCATAGGTTCGGCAACGGCATCTGCAGGTGGTGGGGGTGCGGCGGGTGCTGGTAGTGTTACGGCCAACTCCAATGAGACAACGTCACAAATCAATGCAACAAATACACCGCAACATATTGCCGGAAAAGTCCAGTAAAATTCAAATGAAAAATAATGAGGCAAATATTTTTAAAAATAAAAACACACACACATCTATTTTACATAAAAAATCTATGTATTATGGAAATTGAATCGGCAGAAGTATAAAAACAAAAACGTGGTGAATTGCTAATACGAATGTACAAAACAAAATTTTAAATTTTTAGAAGAAAAGCAACAACAAAAACTATTTTAATATTAAAAAACCATTACCATTTTCCGCCGTCTTCAACCACCACCACCAATCATTTGATAAATCAGACACATCCTCCGATACATTATTTTTTTTGTACATCACCATTTTTTGAGCGTTTCAAATATGTTTCGTTAATATATCTAGTTTTTTTGGAAATAAAAAGTATTTAATTAATTTCGATACTCTCACAATATCATCAGCCATATCAAAAAACGAAACTGAATTTATTTTTTCTTTGGCTATATATTTTTTTTAAAGATTTTCTTCTTCCATTTTTTTATTTTTAGTTTTATGTTGAGTTATTTTTTTATATATATAATTTTTTTTTTTGGAAAAATGTGAAAAGGAAATTTGTTATAAGAAATGTTTTTTTTTTTTGTTTTGGAAAAAGAAAAGTGAAAATAAACAATTTATTTGAAAATAAATTAAAATTGGATTTTTGTTTTAAAAAAAATAAGGGAACCGGCCATCAAAAGGTCTTTTAATATGCTGGGAAAATGTCCTCTTTGGGAGACCAAAAGTTTTTCTAGTAGAAGAACAAAAAGGTCTTCCACAAAGTATTCTCTTAAAAGGCCTAAAGTGAAGACCAGAAATACTAATTCATTAAAGACTTTTTTCAGTTAATTCAATTTTTTTCTTTATTCAGATATAAGTTCTCGTAAATAATCTTCTCAAATACTTTATCGATCACTGATCACAGGTCTTATCAATACTCTTCGGGTTAGCTTTTTTAGGTACTGGTATCACTCTATGGATCTTAAAACAATCGGGATATTTTCCTTCTATAATCATATTGTTAAAAAAGGCTGGTTAATTCTTCGACAACCTCAGATAATCTCATTGGCAACATCGTTGGTTAAATACCATCTGAACCACAACTTTTTTTATGTTCAATTCGTTAAGTTCCTTAATGACTAGATTCTTTGACACTTCCAAGAGAACAAACCGACTCCGCTTAATTACCAGTGTTCCAAATTAATTAATATCATCATTTCTATATCGTTGGATGGAATTTTGCAATACACGCACAGAGTCTATGAAATGACTATTAAATTTATCCGCCTTGTGAGGATCTATAAGGAGTACATCACCATCAAATAGGATCTTCGTCTCCTCATATTGGAATCATGAGGAGACACTCTGTTGCAGTGCTCAAGGCGGCATTCTGGCAGAATTGAATATTTTTCCATTGCGTTGTACTAACATTGGCCGACCACATGGAACGATATAGTTTACTACAGACCAGTCTATTACTGTTTATGTTGTTAACAAGGTTTCTTTATCAGCTCCCCAAGTGCTGCCGGCGAGTGACTTGAGGCATAACTGCTCCTGACCTTATCGCAAATAGCTGTAACATGCTCGGAGGACCCCTAGAACTTTATGGTAATTGGTACTCGAAATTGTGTGTCCATCGATCTGTACATTCAAAGGTGGCCACACTTTATGGTAAGTGGTACTCGGAATTGTGGATCCATCGATCTGTATATTCAAAGGTAGCCACACCTCCGCTGACCATTTGGTAAACAGTGTAGTCGTTGACTTAGTGGCGGATATTTCCATATTCCTCTACCGGAAAAATCAGCTATATCCACGAGATAACCGTTCAGGCTCTCTCAAATGTCCTAAATTTTCGGTCTTCAGTTAGCTTTCTTAGGTATTGCTATCACTCTATAGATCTTCAAACAATTCGTGATATTTTCCTTCTCTAATCATATTGTTAAAAAATGCATATTTTTTATGTCCAATGCGTTAAGTTCCTTAATGACTAGATCCTTTGACACTTCCAACAGACCAAACCCACACCGCTCAATCATCAGTGTTCCAAATGAATTAATATCATCATTTCGATATCGTTGGATGGAATTTCTCAATACATGCGCAGAGTCTATGAAATGTCTATTAAATTTATCCCCCTATAAGAAGGACATCACCATCAACAATTTGTCCCAAAGGATTCTTATTTCTTTCCATTTCCTTGTTCAAAAATTGCCACATCTTTCTCATGTCTCCACTACACGACTTAATATTATTTTGATAATAATTATCTCTTAAACGTTTGCCAACTTTCTGTTTCAATCGATTTTTTACGCTGAGACCATTTCTTACGCCTTACTGCAAGCAATTTCTTCTTATAATCAATTGATCAGATAACCAGGGAGCTATGTTCTGTCGACTATTTACCTTCTCCGCTTCATATTCAGTGCTCTGACTAACAACTCCGACCTCAAAGTATTTTTCAGTGGAAAACAAGGTCTTTTTCACAGGGGACTAGAATGGAAGAGCAATTAATTATCAGATAATTTACAAAACGCTGTTTTCATAAATGTCCAAAAGTTCCAGAAGGTTTTCTCCGTGAATTAACCGTCCTGGAAAAAAATAACTCTAGAGAATAGAAACTACAAAACTTGTGAGGTTATTATATTCGATTCACGAACTTTTAAGCCATTCGTTTATAAATATTTTACATTTATTTAAAACTTAATTTAAAAACGGAAAATAGATTATCAAAAAATAGTCTTCCTTTAAAATTCGCACACTGAAAATACAACGAACTAAAATTTCTTCTTTTTAATTTCATCCTTGACACCTTCGATTTCTTTTTTCACATTATCTTTGAAAAGGTTCATAAATGATCTGCGACGAAGAAAAAAAAGAAAATACAAAAACACAATTTTAAAAATTAACAACAACAAAAAAAGGCTATTAACAAACTCACTTAAAACGATCCGGTGACATTTCATGTAATTTTGTTTCATGTGCCAAATCCTTGGCCCGATACATGAGGGAGACAACAATTTGTGCTGCACGACGCATTGGATAACTTTCGGCCATACGATTTATAAGCTGTTCATTATTGGCTAAATAGCGCATTAGGATACGAAACACCATGTTGGCGGGGGTGATCGGACGTAGTTGGAATGCAATAAACAAAAGGGAGGGAGAGAGAGTGGGGGAGTTTTTTTGCTTCGACCTTAAAATTGTATATCCTTATATTTGCGTATTAATTGCTGTTTCAATTTCAATTGATTCCGTAACAATTCCAATTGCTGTAGTTGTTCCTCTTTGTTGTAATCAATGCCGGGTAAAAGCCTTACTTGGGCCCGTGCAGCTTCGAAACGTTTTTGTAATTCTAAAATCTGAAAAAGAAAAGAAAAACAAATGAATGAGAAAAATTTGAGATCGGAATTCGTAAAATAGGTAGATATTCGCCGACCTACGACGTGATTGTTCCTACCGTGCCCTTTAGTAGTTTAATTGTCCTTCGAAAACACTAATCTCAATATTGCTAAGAGGAAGGAGGACTTTAATTTTTCCTCAGTATTTTCTTACAATGAAGATTTGAAATAAAAGATTCAAGTGTCCTAAGAATTATCTGGGTGCATATACACACCTGATAGCAAGGGAATTTTTTTGATATCTAAGGATGATTTTTCTCTCCAATTTCTTTTTGGTTTCAGTCAAATCCGGAAATCTTCGCATGAAATCCAAATGCGTCTCTCAAAGAACCCAGTATGCCTTCTTCAAAGAACCCAGTATGTCTTATCAAAGTAGACAAATAGGACTTCTAATAGAAGACCAGTAGGTCTTATCACAGAAGATCTGTTAGGATACCAGTCGTTTTTCTTATACAAGGACTGTAGGTTATCCCTTAGAAGACCAATAGATCATCGTAAAGAAAAACAAAATATATTCACATAAAAAAAGGAGACGATATTCTATTCTTTGAGAAAAGGTCACCTCAACACAAAGGAAAGATCTTCATCACCTCAGGAGAAACCATGTTGCAGTCCCCATGTCGGCATTCTGGCAGGATTGACGATTTTTCGATTGAGTTATTAGCTGTGGCATGCGCGAACAGCTTGGCGTGATGCCTTTGACAGGTCCTGTGCTACTATAACTGTCCTATTACATGTGTGCAAATTGCGTGCAAAGCTGTTGTTGTGCTGCTTCCGGAATCCATGTTGATGATCAGCAACTGAATAGCATTCACAAATGCTAGGGAGTAGTAGTGCCTTAAGAGTCTTAGATACTGGCGAAAAAAGTGAGATCGGCCTGTATGATTCACCTTTGCTAGTTTCCTTGTCTGGCTTCAGTAGCGGAACCATCCAGCTGGGAACTATTAGGGTGGGTAACAACAAGTTGAGGACTTTAGTTAGGTTATTTAACTCTATGGATCTTCGACTTCTTATTTCTGAATTGCACGTACGGCTGGCATCCACACATATAATTTATGATCCAACGTTTCAAACATGGCTGGCGGGTTGTTCATTCGACGTTCTCGAACAGCTTGGCGTGGCTGACTCTATCAAATGCCTTTGATGGGTTCAGCGCCACCATAACTGTCATATTACACGACCTTTTCTGGCTGAGTCCTTCTGTTATGTGTGAAAATTGCGTGCAAAGCTGTTGTTGTGCAGTGTTGCTTCCGGAATCGATGTTGATGATGAGCAACTGAATAGCATTAATGAATGCCAAGGAGTAGTAATGCCTCAAGAGTCTTAGATACCAATCGTCGCTTCAGAGAAAGACAAAAGTGTGATCAGAGTGTATGTTTCACCTTTGTTGGCATCCTTGCCTGGCTTCAGTAGGGGACTATCCTGCTGGGAACTATTAGGGTGGCTAACGACAAGTTGAGGACTTTGGTAAGGTACTCTACTCCTGGCTTATCATGACCATGGACATTGCATCCGGACAAAGCGCCTTGGATGATTTTGTGCTTCTGATGGCAATTGAAACATGCTCCAACGTAAATTGTGATTGTTCCTCCTCTACTTGTGGAATACGGCGAATACGGCGCAATACTCTTCTCTTCGCCCTGTCACTCTCGGGGTGCTCTATAAACTGCCGGTTGAAACAACTCGCACACCTCTTTGAATCTGTCACATCAACTCCGTTAAATGAGACAAAAGTCCGATTATTCTTTCATCCAGGGTTCGACAGCGATTTAACCGTTGCCCACAATTTACTCACTCCGTTACAGATGTTGCAACATTTCAGATGTTCTAGCCACTTTTTCAGCTTGTGCTCGCCGACTAACCTGTTTACTTCCATCGACTGTTCTCTGTTTCTAGGGTTAGTAAGGTTAGTACGACGAAGCTCATCACGATCATTTGCTAATCCCGCTGCCTCTGATGGTAAGTGTGATTTTAATTCGAGCATACGACCCGCAGGTATATAGCGAGCGGCTGTAGTAGTGATGTTGACCCGAGCATCAGAAAGATTGGGCAGTTCTCTGAAGCGACGATTAGTAAAATTTCTGAACTCTTGCCAATTGGCTTTCCCGTAATTAAGAACTTGAAGTGCTTGGAAATTGTGGGTATGGACCGGCAACATTTGAGGTTTGAATCCTAGCCTAACTCATTTGGTTTCGTTTTAGGATTTTAACCTGCTAGGATCGTTGATAGTTTTTTATAATGAAATCCTCTATTAGGTATACTGAGCTTCATTTCCGCGATACCGGTAACAAATCATTGCCGGCGTGCATTTGACAGCCACCTTTAACAATGCCTTATCACTACAATAATTAATTACACACGTAATCAAAACATAGAATATGAAAAATATACCCACCTTATGACTGCACTCCTGCGACTCACGTTGTTTGGCCGTATTATCCTTTGGATCCTTTTCGACACTAAAATAAAACGAACAAAAATATGTAAATTATATAACGTCCTTTCGACAATTCTACTACACAAATGCAAATTAACAACGCAATTTTTTTTGTTTAAAAAAAGACGCAAACTCACAATTTCTTTGCTTTGTTTCGGTCGGTTGTCACACTTTCATGTGATTTTGCTCTTAATTCAATCAAAAAGAACAAAACAACACACGGCTATTTTTGTTTGTTTTTGTTCGAATATTTACTTGCCGAATCGACGAAATGAAGAAAAAATGTCACCGACACTTACCAGCGTATAATGTCGTAAATTGCAGGCAATATTTCTATGTCGAGACGCGTTGCTGTCAATGTTTGGCCGTTGGATCCACTTCCAGTGGCTGTCGAATTATTATTTGTTTGGTTATTGGGATTTGGAGCGGTCTGAATAAGACCATCAGCTGTTAGAATTGGTTTCTTATCAACTGGTTCACAATCCATAATAAAAATCAATTTATTTTTGGAATTTTTTTGTTTGTTGCTGATTGTTTTAGTTCACAAAAAGGAACTAGTTCAACGGCATGTTTCACTAACAAGAGCGCATGAACTAGTTTATATAGATGATTTTTTATGAACAGACCGAACCATTCACCAATGTCCAATATTGAATGTTTCGTGTAAATACAAGTACGTTTAAAGGCGTGTTTAGACCGTGCATTGTAAATTGGCTCGAGTTGTTAAAAAAGTACAGTATGTCAAGAATGAGTTTACACATTGAATAAATAAAAGGGTATTTTTTTCAATTTTGTTAGAAATAAACCATGGTACAATTATACAAGGTAACTGCAAAACTACAACAAATACAATTCAACAACAACCACAAATGTAAACAAAATACAAACTATCAATAAATTGTATTTATTTTCAAAATGTTTTTTTTTTTATTTTCAGATTAAAATTGGAAAGCATGAATGAAAATCTTGTATATTTATAATTTTATAGCTTCCAGATCTTTCCTTCAATTGAGTCATTGGAGGGTTATGTAGGGGTAACTCATACAAAACCGATAAAAATATCGTTGAAAATTGGAATTTTTCATTGCAAAGGGATTTACTGCTTCATATTTTCCCATTAGGAAATTGAAGCAAATTGTAAACGATTTCTATAATTTGATAATGAATAATTGTTAACGCGCGGCTATTGTTCTTTAAAATTAATGTAATTTATTATTTATTTTGCCAATTCATGGTGGTAAAACCGGTTCAGAAAAAAAATAAACGCTGATACTACATTTTTCTATCGTCTGCAGATTTGAGACCAGTAAGCGGAGCAGTATAGTCGGACGGGGCCGACCATACGATACCCTACACAACTACCACAGAACTCCATCTTTCTGTGGATTTTTATTCCGAGCCTGGGCAATATTTCGTAATATTTGCACCCTCTCGCCCGATTAGAGATCAACAGCTCTTCCTTACACTGACATATTTTCCGAATATTTCTAACATTCGGTACATGTCCACATTCCACTCAGCGTGGGTTGTGTTGTGATGTTGTCTCATAATTGTGGCCTATATATCGACTCGAAAAAAAAACACAAAAAATTAAGTTTTCGGTCCACTTTATCCCAAAATTATTATCTGATCATCACCGAAAATTACAGGCGTTGGCCTTGACCATAACTGGAACCTCATGGAACATTTCAAAGCGATCAGCGCTATATTTCCGCCCTCTAGTGTGGTAATGGGTTACTAAATAATATCTGAATACGTAAGCGCCTCTAAATATTTAAGTGTAACTCCCGCATCCGAGTACATACGACAATGTAATTGGTATCAATTTAAAGGTCAATCAATCCTCTTGGATATACTGTAAACTTCTCGGGTCTATGTCCTTCAGGGGCAACTATATGCGCCATAGAATACAAATTTTGTAATTTTTCACACAAAAGTTTGGGTCCATTTGACCCGTTAAATATTGACCAATCTTTATCAAAACAGGCATGCTTATTCTTTAACCCGACGTTCGGGCCATAATTGTGGCCTCGGGAGAGACAAGAAAACCCGACAAAAATTTAGTATTTGGTCCATTTCATCCCCTAAGTATTGACCGATCATTACCAAAAACAATAGGGGTCTTCATTGGCCAGAACCCATCCTACATGCAAAATTTCGTGAAGATTGGTCAATAACTGTGGCCTGTATCGTGTTTACAAATTATAATGGACATACGGACGGACACACATGTCTAGATCGACTCAGCTAGTCGAGATATGACGATCGGTATACTTAAAGGTGGGTCTAGGACCAATATTTCGCGGCGTTACAAACTTTTGGGGCTGCACAAAACTATAATTTTTTTATTTCACATATATGTACAAAATTTTCCTGTTGGGTCGGTTTACATAAATCAAAAATGTCATATCGAAACTGGCACGAGTATTACGATACATTCAAATCAGCTGAGTACTGCAGTTACCTTGTATAATTGTACCATGGTAAAAAACATAAATGATCCTTTTTTAAGGTTATATTTATGATTTTTTTTGAACCACTACATATACGTTTCTATCCTGGAATTCCAGAGCCGGAATAGAAAGAAGCCCCGGACAGCGGCTGTTAAGGCCTTAGCCGACTTCAGAACTACTGTGACAGGAGTTATTTTGCTACATGTTGCGTCAGCGTATCTCCCAATGTGTCCCACATAGTAAACGTCTACTTGTCGGAATATGAGGCACCCCCGAAATCTCCTCTATAACAAACGCAGAACCTGACACTACTTGTTGCTGTACACAGGCCAGGAAAAGCATAGTTTTTACAGTTTATCTGCGATACAAAATCAGTGAATCGGAAAAATATAATAGCCGCTGCGATTAAGGAAACCAAGTCAAGAAACTCGATACCTATATCTTGTGCCGTTGCGAGATACAGGTACTTTGACATTTTATTGAGGCGTCAGCTGCGGTAAATTTACTATCTATTTATTCTTGCGTTCTTACTACGACTTTCTGCCTGGTCCGCGCCGAGATATAAAGAAACCCCGAACCTTTGTTCAGTTTCCGCCGCTATTAAAGTCTTAGCCGACTTCAGGACTACAGTGACAAGAGTTATTTTGCTGCATGCTGCGTATCTCCCAGCGTGTCCGCATTACCTTTGTCGTCGTCGGAATATGAGACACCCCCTCAGTCTCCTCTACAGCAGACGAAAAACCTGACGCCACTTTGTGCTGTACAACCGAAAGAAAATGCTGCGATGGACTGCGAAACAAAATCAGCGAAATCGTCGATTTTATGAATCGAAAAATATTATGGTCGCCACGATCCACAAAACCAATCTGACCGATCACTGCAGCTTGTACCTTTGCGATGGTTACAACGTGTTGCGAAAGGTGGATGTAGTTATTTGCGTTCTTGTTACACCATTCTGTACAGTACAGACCTATATCTCCTGAGCTAGATTCTATTCACCTATAAATTGAGTGTATGGGGGTAGTAGCGAAGTGTAGAACTGCTGAGATAGAAATGATTAATGGGTACTTCCCGCCGTTGAATAGTTGTATCCCACGTTATTTACCCGACATTAGTGATAGGGAATTTCAATGCCCATCATGAGGTTTCGTATTCCGTCCTTTACAGTTCCACGCGGTGAATAAGAATTTGATGAGATTACCACAGCTCGCCGCGCATCGCCATTAAGGGGGAAACTTTCAGGCTTGGCATGTTAGGATGGCTTCTTTTATTGTCCAGCGTCCAATTTCAAGTTTGTCTCTAATATTCTTTTATAAATTGACAATTCATACGAAGCCAACTTAACAGGGCAGGCCTGAATCCTCGTATGTGTTTATGACACCGAGTCTGATAAGTGACGTAGTCTGGCAACACATAATTTCTCTTGGTTCAGACCACCTCTCCATTATCGTCTCCGCAAATAGACCACCCGATTTCATTACCTCTGAGCGCCGAACTTTCCTGAACCATGGTAAAGCTGATTGACAAGGTTTTAGAGATTTCACCAATCGCCGATTCCGTAAATCATTGGGTATCTTAGATGAATTTCCGAGACAACATCACTGCTGCAGCCGAACGCCTTATACCTGCTGGTGGTATACTCGAAGTAAGACCAAACCTCCCAGCAAATATGACGGTACTTGCGAATTAGAGTCATAAACGTCATGGTACAACACCTGAAGACCCAAGAGTGAAACAACTCACCCTTAAAATCAACAGATTTTTATTCGAACATAAGCGGAATTCGTGGCTATATCACCTGAAGCTTTGGACAACGGTAAAGTCACTCTCGAATCCCGGAAGGAAGGACGATAGAACGGTTGAGATGTTTAGAGGCAGACAGAGTTTTTTTTACCGGCTGTTCATAGAGCTCTTTCACAGTTGTTGGTGTCTTCCGATTGTGGGCAACTAACCCGACGCGTCAACCCATTTTTTATAGTTCTTATGTATGAGCACGCGGCACATATAAGCTGACTATTTCAACGGGTGTTGAAAGTAGCTACCCCAGGTGACACCGCGGGGACGTCAGTGTCCACAATTGAGATGAAAGAGGGGCCAAGAAAGGCCAACCCAACTAGATGCTAGCAACAGATGATACGATGGTCTAAAACAGTGGTGGGCATAACAAAATTGAACGTAAGTGTGGGTGAGCGTAACTAAGAAATCATAATTGAAAACAATTGAAGAAAAGAGAAAAAAGAGAATGCGTGTTTAAACACCGATACTCAGTTACGGTAGCATGTATGGCCGAGCATGCCTGCTCTAAACGTTTCCACGACAGAGGGGTCTACGATCCGACCAGAGTCTTACTCGGCGAAAGTCTGTCACCTCAGCCTATTGTGTAAAAGTATTAGGGCTGCTACAACAACATCTATGGTCCAAATAAGCAGTTTAGAAACTCCACATCTCGCCAGACCAAACTCACATTCTATAAGATGTTGATACTACCCGAGCTGGTGTATGGATCAGAAGCATAAGTAATTGCGCAAGCAGATGAGGCAGTGTGTGAGAGAAAAATTCTCCGAAAGATCTACAGGCCGATCTGCGTCGACGGTGAATATCGGCGTCGAATGAACCACGAGCTTTAACATCCATACACGGACATCGACATAGTCAGTCATATTGAGTGCAGTAACTACGGTGGCTAAGGTCGGAATCATGGCACAATGAATAGGTAGTCCATTTAGAGCAGCTGATATCTTGATTAACTGTCAATGTGCCTAATTTCTACATGAATTATATGAGAAATGTTGCCAACCATGTCAAATATTATAAGGAACAAGTGAAAAAGCGTTAAGTTCGGCGGGGCCGAACTTTGGATACTCTCCACCATAGATATACTGACAGGTACTTGAAGTGAAAATATAGGGAACAAAAAGTGACCTTTCTACAAACTGATTATGTAAACCATAATGTACACCAAATATAAATTTCAGCAATTTTGCTGCATATTTATACCCTCAGCCTTATGTATAATGAGGTTATATACACTTTG